TCAAATACTTCCTGGAACTCTTTCAAGAGATCCTGAAGTGATGGAAGAGTTATGCTTTCTTCAACTTCAGCATTTAACAAATAGATCTCCCCACTCAATTCAGTATCTTTTTCAGCTAGCTTCTGAAACTTTTCTCCTATGATGGGTCAAATTAGTGGTAGTTTTTGAGTACATCTAATAACAACCGTCTTCTCATCTTTCTCAAAACTAATAGTCTTAGCTCTCAAGTCCATCATTATGAGACTGAATTCTTCCATCCAATCCACCCCAGTACCATATCACTGCCTCCCAAAGATAAAACTTTAAAATCATACCGAAATTCATAGTCTTGCATCCTCCAACTCACCTTGTTACTTTTAGCAGTACTGAACAACTGTTAGGATTTTAAGAAGCTCGATTCGATAATTGAAACGGTTTACAAAGAGGGATCAGAACGGTTTTTGAGTTTAGGGAGTAAGGAGATTGAAAGATAGAAAATTGCACAACGATTTAGAGTGGTTCGACTTTCTAAACCAAAGTCTACGTCCACTACCTTAGCTCCTCACCAAAGATTTTCTAATAAATTCACTAATTTGTTCTTTCTTTTGAGGACAAAGAGATAACCTTACAACTTCCTAGTTTTTCCAGGCTAAACTAGAACATTTCCCTAGCTTTTACACGGGCTAAGCTAGAATCTTTTCCCTTTACAAAATGATAAAAGATGTAAACAAGAAAACCTCTCTAAGGTAGGTGTTTACAAGATTGAGCTCACAAGAACAAAATATGTACAAGAGAAAGATGAAATAAGAATGAAAAACTCTTCTCTTGTGTTTGATTGCTTGGATAGTTGTTCTCTTACTTCTTCAAGTGTCCTTAGCTTGTATTTATAGCTTGGGATGTGTTTGATGTTGTATATAGCCGTTGGGGATGTTTTGGAGTCGTTTGGGGACGATTTTCTACTAAAAAAAGGCTTCCCATAACATGGTGCATCGGTGCACTATCATGGTGCATCGATACCCCTTCATTAAATTCAAATAAACTAGCTGTTACTAGCCGTTGCAACCTTGATGCATGGATACATGGCAGGATGCATCGATGCATGGTAGGATGCATCGATGCACTAAGTGCATTCGATGTTTGAGTGCATGGATGCATTGCATGATGCATCGATGCATTAGTGCAGGTGCATGGATGCACTGCAGAGATGCATGGATGCACTGCAGGGATGCAGGGATGCATGGATGCACTTTGACACCCTTTAACATTTTGGCTCAAATCCGAATTTAATGGATTTTGAATTATTTTTGAAACCTTTTAAAACTTTGAATAAATTCAATTAAGTCCAAAAACATTTTGTAAATTCAATTCAAGTCCAAAAATATTTTGCCTTAAATTGTTATATCAAAACATAGTTCAACAACAACTTTTCACCATTAGCTATTGTGATGACTAATGGTTGAGTATGTACTAATTCCACTCCCTCCTTGGCCCACTTAGGAGTAACAAAACTATGAGTGTTGCCACTGTCAATCAATACATTAATATGTTTTCCTCTGATGAAACCTTGTATTCTTAAGGTAGTGTGCCCCACATTACCTATAATAGCATTGATAGAAATCTCCAAAGCTTCTTTTTCTAGTTCTTCCATTTCCCCAGGCTCCTTTTCTGTCAATTCTTTTTTAGCAAAATTGTAGCATCCTCAATATCAGGTGAGTGACTAAATTGAAATATTTTCGAATTTGTTGGTCAAAGTGGATAAATTGAAAGATTGTGGGAATCACATGAAAAATGTTGTATAGGATTTAAATATTAAAGAAGGAAATATGGACGAACAAAATGGTCATTTACAAGGAAAATAATTAATTTGGTTAAATATATATGGAGGCCTCGTGTATGAGAGGAAGCAAATATCCAAGCTTCCAGACAACTCTTCTCCTCCTTTCTTCTTTGTGCGTACGAACCAATGTAAAGGTAAGAATTCTTATTAGTTGTTTATTAGTTGAGATTTAAGTTTGGTTTTGCTCCTTAGATGCTAATTGAGCTTAAGGAAAGCTTAATTTGTTTTAAAACAACAAGATAAAGGGAGTAGGAAGAATTAAAGATTTGAAGTTCTTGAATGAAATTTCGAAATAAAGTTTATAATGAAAATTGGAAGTTGAATTTGACTTGTCACCAACTTGATTAAGGGATATGAAGGGTTAGAATCAGATTTAGAACATGTGGGAATTTTAGTGAGATTCTTAAATTCTATGTGGAGGAATGGATTGTGAAGTTTAAGATATATTGAATGTGTATTAATTAGTTTAAATAGGTGTATGAGAGTTAAGGATATAAAAAGAGGGGAAATATAAAGTGTTGAGAAGATTATAAAGAGAGTTTCATGCTAAAATAACATTTCTGGGCTATGTGCATCGATGCATATTCAATGTGTACCGATGCATCAAGGGTAAAATCCCAGAAATTGTTCAAGGTGTATCGATGCACTCCTTTAAAATAAAAACATCGAATGTCATCAGTGTATCGATGCACCCGCTTAAAATACAAACATCGAATGAGATTTATGTACCGATGCATAGATAGTGCATCGATGCACCCGTCAAGGGATACATCGATACATGGTGTAGTGCATCGATGCATATCTTCATTAAAAGATAAAAAATAGCTTTCTTTTTAGCCTAGGGAGTCATAGTTTAGAATATATGAATTATAATACTTATATGGATCCATATATGATTATGTAGATACTGAAATCGAGCAAGCTTTGGAACTATCACCGAGTTAGAATTTGATCAAAAGGAAAGAAGTCATAGGAATAATTAGTAATCAATGAGGACAAGGTGAGTTCATATTAGATAGTGTGTTATGTTTAATGGAAATAAGACTTGAGACAAGTCTATTTCCTATAGTAGAATTCATGAACTCATTAATATGAGCATATGTTTGACATGATACATGTGTGTTATTGATTATTGCATATGTTAAATGATATGTGTGAATACAAGTTTATATGATACATGATAAATGTATATAGTATATGTGAACACAGGATGATATGAAAAAGGATATAATTGTATTATGTGATTTATAGAAAACATAGGTGCACAATAAATAGCAATGATATACATGTTATATAAACACAAGAGAAGTGTTATAAGTTACGTGATATATGCATATGAAATCATATGAGCTTATATGATATATGATATGAAAGTGTACATGTGAAATAATATAAGTGAAAATGCCCATGTTTTATGTCATGAGGGCTAGAGGTATAGTTGGCATGCCAAGAGTCGAGGGTCTACGCGGTCATTCGGGACATACAGTGATCCTTTGGGATATTTCATAATGGTCATTCGGGATAAATTCATATGCCCTTAGTGGGACCCCATACGAGCTATGGTGACAGCATAGTGCACAACCTCAATAGACTCACATATCTACAGTTCTCACGTGTGTACATGGGCTAATAAATAAATAACATGTGTTGTATATGTTTTGTGATATTAATTGTATGATTTATCGGATGATATATGTATTGCTCGGTTAAATGAATCAGATGTTCATTAAAAAGGTTATGTACAAGAGGATATAATTACAGGATACAGATGATAGTAAGAATTTTGACGAAAACGTTGTGTGATATGTATATATATATATATGTATATGTATACCTTACATTATATTTAATGTTATAATTGTTTGGTATGGCATTACAAGATTACCTATTAATGCATGTTTAAATAGTTAGAGTTTTCTTCCATATTTGATTATGCCTCACTAAGTCTATGACTTAGCGTGTAAGTGATTTACACATAGGTTCCAAGAAACAAGAAGAGCATAAATAGAAGTGGCAAGGACAACATCACTACTAATAGATCAGATCAGAAGTAATTGACAAAGTAGGTATTTTGGGTTATGTAGAAAGTGTTGGCAGGTAATAAGTTGTTAATTATGAATGCTCTGATCAATTTTGTATTTTGTGGTCTCTTTATGTAAATTAATGTATTTTGTTTTAATGAAAGTTTAAAATTTCCATGTTTTTCTTTAATGTCAAAGTTTGAAAAGTCAATGTGACACTTCAAACTCGTATCCGGGTCGGGTACGGGCTGGGGGTGTTACATTTAATGGTATCAGAGCTACGGTTTAGTCGATTCTCAGTATAAATCGGAGTCTAGAGTGTCATATAAAGTATACATGCCAACAAAATAATGAAAACTTCTGATATGATATAATAGTAAGTATGTTGTTTTGCTAATAGAACGATTTGATTATATTTTATTAGATGTCCGGACAAGATAGCTCTCGAGGTAAAGCGAGAGATGATAGATTAGCTGAGAGTAGTAATTCACCTGCCCTGTCCTGGCAAGGTGAAGAATGGGCACCTTTTGGAGTGTTGATACGTTCTTTAGGACGTTGGACGCGATATTAGCGCGTTTCCAACCTCCTGTCTCCTCAAATTAGAGAGTGAATGTGGCAAAAGAGTTAAAAGGATTAGGAGCTCCTAAGTTCAAAGGTGAAGCCGAGGAAGGTCCAATTGTTGAGGACCTTTGGCTTAACGATGTGAAAATCATGCTCGAAGGACTCCATTGTTCTGATATGGAAAAGTTAGATGAAGTAGTCTCCTTGCTGCGTATGCAAGCGAGAATTTGGTGGACAAATGTCATTTTGAGGATGCCAAGTGATCAGATAACTTGGTATTTGTTTTTTTTGGAAGAATTTAAGCACAAGTATATAGGAGATCAGTTCATCAGGCAAATGAAGCAAGAATTTTTGAATTTGAGGTAGATGAATCATAATGTGTATGAGTATGAGTACGAGTTTAACAAGTTATGTCGTTTTGCAACTGAGTTGATTCAAACTGAGAAAGATGTGTGTGATTGGTTTGTAGAGGGCTTGCGCCCGAGTTTAAAAGAGATGTTAATCGTGTTAAATTTGTCCTCGTTTTAAGAGGTAGTAAATCGTGCGAAAGCTCTTGAAATAGCTCAGAATGAACGGTTTGGGGAGCAGAGAGCTCAATCTTTTAAAAGAACTTGGGTTTCATCGAGCATGGTACCACCCAAGAAAGGTAGAGATTCGGGTTTCCGATCGCAAGCACCGTCAGAATCGATGGCATCCTCCGTTAAAGAATCAAATTAAATAAGAGTTAAACAAACTCAGTCTGGAAGGTCTAGTGATAAGCGAGCACATCAAAGTCAAATTATACAATGCCAGATTTGTGGAAGAAGCCATTGTGGATTGTGTAGAGTGGTCACTGGAGCCTGTTTCCTATGTGGAGAAACATGGCATTACATGAAGGATTGTCCGTTGAGGGATGGAGAGCCTGTACAGTCAGAGCGATTTTCATCGATGTCTCAGAGAGGACGCGGTAGAGGTAGAGGAAGAAATCACACCGAATCTTCTACTCAACAAGAAATACGCTCCACATCTAGAGTATATAATCTCCAGATCAATGAGGACTGTGATGACCCAGAGATAGTAGCAGGTATTTTTCTATTGTACAGTAAATGCGTTATGATATTAGTTGATCTGAGTTGCATATCTATATATGAGTAGTGACTGGGTGAGAGAATTGGGAATTTAGATAGAAGTCATTTGTAGTAATATAAAGTGATAAATTTAGTTGGGCACAGTGCTCAAGTAAACAAGATATGTGGAAGGTGTTCCATTTGGATTCAGGGAATTGAATTCTCTGTTAATCCAATAGAGTTATTTTCCAGGGATTAGAAATAATAATATTGAAGATGGACTAGTTATATAGTTAGTATGCAAATGATGATTGTAAATTAGGAAGAGGTACAACTAATCAGCTTAGACGGATTGGAAATATCAGTGTTGGAAGATATATGTTATTAGGGATAAATATGTTTTGATTGAATAAGGATTTTACAAGGAATGAGGTTGTGCAAGTAGTGTTAAATATCATAATTATGGAAATACGATGAGGAATGTTATTTAAAGATAAATATAAGTGATATGAAAGGATTATAGAAGTATAAGGAAAAAGATATGATTTATGAGATAAGAAGATGGTGGTTTATGAAGAATCAAATAGATATAAATAAATTAGTTGGAAATGAGTGTAAAGTGTGCATTATAGGTTTGATAAGGAAGTAAGGAAATGATAGATAGTGTTGTGGAAAGACGGTTTGGTTTTAGAATATATGTTTTCACCAATTATGATGAGGAGTAAATGTTATAGATAAGAAGATAATGATTTAGTTATATATATTAAGGAAGTTAAAGTATAATTGAAGGAATGTTTCTCTCGGTTCAGATAGTGAAGGATAAGTCTATTGTGTTGCAAATGATATGGATGTATAAAGTCGAGTTATGATAATTCGAGATTAACTAAAGAGCTAATATGTGAATATGAATATGAGATGGGTAGACAGTAGTTTAATCTATTAGTACAATGAAAATTTGAGGACGAATTTTCTTAAAGGAGGGGAGATTTGTAACATCTTCAATATCGGGTGAGTGACCAAATTGAAATATTTCCAAATTTGTTGGTCAAAGTGGATAAATTGAAAGTTTGTGGGAATCACATGAAAAATGTTGTGTAGGATTTAAATATTAAAGAAGGAAATATGGAAGGACAAAATGGTCATTTACAAGGAAAATAATTAATTTGGTTAGATATATGGAGGCCACGTGTATGAGAGGAAGCAAATATCCAAGCTTCCAGACAACTCTTCTCCTCATTTCTTCTTTGTGCGTACGAACCAAGGTAAAGGTAAGAATTCTTATTAGTTGTTTATTAGTTGATATTGAAGTTTGGTTTTGCTCCTTAGATGCTAATTGAGCTTAAGGAAAACTTAATTTGCTTTAAAACAACAAGATGAAGGGAGTATGAAGAATTAAAGATTTGAAGTTCTTGAATGAAATTTTGAAATAAAGTTTATAATGAGAATTAGAAGTTGAATTTGACTTGTCACCAACTTGATTAAGGGATATGAAGGGTTAGAATCAGATTTAGAACATGTGGGAATTTGAGTGAGATTCTTAAATTCTATGTGGAGGAATGGATTGTGAAGTTTAAGAGATATTAAATGTGTATTAATTAGTTTAAATAGGTGTATGAGAGTTAATGATATAAAAAGAGGGGAAATAGATAGTGTTGAGAAGATTATAAAGAGAGTTTCATCCTAAAATAACATTTCTGGGCTATGTGCATCGATGCACATTCAATGTGTACCGATGCATCAAGGGTAAAATCCCAGAAATTGTTCAAGGTGTATCGATGCACATGAAATGTATCGATGCACTCATTTAAAATAAAAACATCGAATGTCATCAGTGTATCGATGCACAAGTAGTGCATCGATGCACCCGATTAAAATACAAACATCGAATGTGATTTATGTACCAATGCATAGGTAGTGCATCGATGCACCCGTCAAGGGATGCATCGATACATGGTGTAGTGCATCGATGCATACCTTCATTAAAAGATAAAAATAGCTTTCTTTTTAGCCTAAGGAGTGATAGTTTAGAATATATCAACTATAATATTGATATGGATCCATGTATGATTATGTATATACCGAAATCGAGCAAGCTTTGGAACGATCACCGAGTTAGAATTCGATCGAAAAGAAAGAAGTCATAGGAATAATTAGTAATCAGTGAGGATAAGGTGGGTGCATATTAGATAGTGTGTTATGTTTAATGGAAATAAGACTTGAGACAAGTTTATTTCCTATAGTAGAATTCATGAACTCACTAATATGAGCATATGTTTGACATGATACATGTGTGTTATTGATTATTGCATATGTTAAATGATATGTGTGAATACAAGTTTATATGATACATGATAAATGTATATAGTATATGTGAACACAGGATGATATGAAAAAGGATATAACAGTATTATGTGATTTATAGAAAACATAGGTGAACAATAAATAACAATGATATGCATGTTATATGAACATAAGAGAAGTGTTATAAGTTACGTGATATATGCATATGAAATCATATGAGCTTATATGATATATGATATGAAAGTGTACATGTGAAATGATATAAGTGAAAATGCCCATGTTATATGTCACGAGGGTTAGAGGTATATTTGGCATGCCAAGAGTCGAGGGTCTACGCGATCCTTCGGGACATACAGTGATCCTTCGAGATATTTCATAGTGGTTATTCGGGACAAATTCATATGCTCCTAGTGGGACCCCATACGAGTTGTGGTGACAGGATAGTGCACAACCTCAATAGACTCACATATCTACAGTTCTCACGTGTGTACATGGGCTAATAAATAAATAACATGTGTTGTATATGTTTTGTGATATTAATTGTATGATTTATTGGATGATATATGTATTGCTCGGTTAAATGAATCAGATGTTGATTAAAAAGGTTAGGTACAAGAGGATATAATTACAGGATACATATGATAGTAAGAATTGTGATGGAAACGATGTGTGATATGTATATGTATATCTTACAATATATTTAATGTTATAATTGTTTGGTTTGGCATTACAAGATTACTTGTTCATGCATGTTTAAATAGTTAGAGTTTTCTTCCATATTTGATTATGCCTCACTAAGTCTATGACTTAGCGTGTAAGTGATTTACACGTAGGTACCAAGAAACAAGAAGAGAAGGAATAGAAGTGGCAAGGACAGCATCACTACTAATAGATCAGATCAGAAGTAATTGACAAAGTAGGTATTTTGGGTTGTGTATAGAGTGTTGGCATATAATAAGTTGTTAATTACGAATGCTCATATTATTTTGTATTTTGTGGTCTCTTTTATGTAAATTAACGTATTTTGTTTTAATGAAAGTTTAAAATTTCCCTGTTTTTCTTTAGTGTCAAAGTTTGAAAAGTCAATGTGACACTTCAAACTCGTATCCGGGTCGGGTACGGGCTGGGGGTGTTACAAAAATCTTCTTATTCCTCTATGCAATTAAATTGCTTGGCTTTGCACTGATGCCCATGAGTAAATTTTCCCTACATTTAAAACATAAGTTATGGGCTCTCCTGTATTCCACCAAACTCTGTTTAGGATTTGTGTTGGAAGAATTTGTTTTAGGCATAGGACCCTTATTCCCACTATTTTGTTGACTATTCAAAGGATTGTAAGAAAAAATTCGATTAGAAGATTTATACTTCTTACCTTCAATCTCATTAGCCAGCTTATATAATTTAGTTTGCCTGTAGGCTTCAGATAAATTCCTGGGCTCTAACACCTTAACTTTATTTTTTTTAATTCTTCCTTAAAGCCATTGATGAAACTAGAAACAAAGTAATCTTCCTCAGATGCATGTTCTGTTGTAACAAATAAGGTCTTAACTCCTCAAATTTCTCTTGATACTCTTCCACACTTCCTTTCTGCATTAGTTTATTGAATTCCTCAATAATGTATGAATAGTTTCTGTCACAAAACCTATGACACAAATTAACCTCAAATTCATGCCAAGTGACCCTATACTTCTGCATAATATAGCCATCAAACCAGGTCTCTGCCTATCCAGTTAAATACATAGCATTTATTTCTATTTTTTTGATCTTCTGGTATTCCCAATAGATTGAAATATTTCTGGCACTTCCTAATCCATCCTCTAGGATTGTTACCATCAAACATTTGTAGCTCCAATTTTGGTCTGGGTAACACATAACTTGTGTTCCCAAAATGACCCTTAGAGAAGTTTCTAGTGTCAACATTTTCTTCACCTCCCATTTTGATTTCACTAGAACTACCCATAATATTTTCTTCTTGCAACTTCTGAGTCAAATGTGTATGGCTTGGAAAAACCACTGGTATTGAAGCTAATATCCCTAGTTTATTAGGTTGGTAAGAGTACCTTTCCTTTTCTCCTATTACTGTAACTTGTACTGATTTCATACCCAGAGATTTAGAAGCATCAGGTTCATTTACCTGGTTATTTTTACGCTCAACACTTGTTTCCTCTTCAGACGTTTCCTCCCCTTCCTAACTCCTCAGAATTTTCAAGATACTCGTCAAATAACCTTTTTGCTCTGTAAACTCAGCTTCTAAATTATCCAACCTTTTCTCTTTCTGTTCCCACCATTTTGGCACCTTCGAATCCTCTTTAAGATCTTCCATCTGCATTTGTAATTCTTTAACACTTTGTTAAATGGAAGCCAACATTATCTCTTCTGCCATCGTTTGAACTTTCTTCTACTTTCCCAGTTTTTCTCTTTAACAGGAATCATGCTCTGATTACCAATTTGTTATGTTTAGGGTTGATTAAATAGAAGAAATGAGAGATTTTAGAAAAGAATTAAGGATACAGAAAACGTGTTTTTTCATTCAAGATATATCATCCTTTTGGAAATTAGATACAATTATATATTTACAAGCACCCTACAGCTGTATTACTGACAGCAAATCTAACAAACTAACTACTAAATTACTGACTCACAGGATCCATCCACGTGGGTTACACCGTTTGGTCCATTTTATCCTCCAATCCCGAAGTGATTTCAATATCTGTTGTGTTCTGTTTTGGGTTGAAACCTGATGGGGCCCAATTGGATAATTTGGAATTGGTTATGGTTTGTTCCTCCCATCCGAATGATCCAGCTCTTCTCTTTGCCTCAGCCTTAATTCCATCAGGTAAGACTTCAATCCCTAATTCTCTTTTAATTCCCATTTTCTTTCGATTCTCCCCCAATTCCCTTCTTCGGTTTGTCCTCAATTCCTTTTGTTCGAGCCCTAATTTCGCTTCCATCATGACAATAATATATAGAATTAAATGTTATAAAATATTTTAAAATTAACCTATAATTTAAAGTATTTGGGGGTAATTACTGAGTTTTGGGGCTTCTCAAAGAAAACCTAGATCGGTATTCAGATGGTGCAATTGAATGATAAAAAAATTATTTTGAAAATAATTGGTTTCAATGATTAAAGTAGTATAGTGTATGTTATGGGGATCCATGTTGGGGGTATTTTAGTTATTTTATTAAAATGATGCCAACTGGCAGTAAAGTTTAGAACCCAAAATAAAAACTAAAAATCCAAGTTGGAATTCACTCTGTGCATTAATTTCTTTTACAAAATAAAAGAGTGTTTTCATCTAAAAAATTAAAAAGAAAAAGAAAAAGAAGAAAAGGGTTTACTAAAGCAGAGGAGGGCTTTTAGCTAAATAAAAAAGGCAAAATGATCAGCAACAGCTGTAGATAAAATTCTGAAATATTTGTTTATCTTTTTTTGCATTTATTATATGTATCTTTCTGTGCCACTTTTTAATTACTACTACTAAATAAATAAATAAATAAAAGAAGCCTCCCAGCTCCTCTTTGCTGTTCTTTTTAACCAACCAACCAACCAACAAACCATTTATTTATTTATTTAAAAAGATAATAATAATAAAATTCTGAAGATTCCACTGCAAAAAGGAAAATATGAAAGTTTTGAAGTGAAAAAGAAAAAGAAAACGCTACTTGTTGAGATGGACATATGACAAGCAGATCCCACAGACCATAATAGATTAATAAATTCACCTATATTACATATACAATCCATCTTCAATGGAAACCCTTTTTGAATTACAAGAAATAAAATTCACGGCCTCTTTTCCTCTGTTGATATATATTTTCCTTTTTCGTTAATTCAAGTTTTTTCTTTTCCTTTTGCCATTGAAAGCTGTAAGTAAAATAGCAAGCTCTTGCCAAGGAGGGGCCAAAGAAAGGAGTTGTCGCATCCAAAAAAGTCATATATGCTGGGTGGTGGTGACACAAGTGGTACCGTTCTTGGAAGCAGAAGCGGCTGCAGTGATGCCGCTTCTGCTGCTGCTGGCATGTTTAGCAACAGCAGAGGTCCTAATGGAAGCAATGAAGCTGCTGCTGCTGGTGGTGCTGGCAACATGTTTGATTCCAATGGCAATAATAGTAACAATTCAGGTGAAGACGATAGAGGCCGGGTCGATGAAGGTGAGCGGTCTTTCGGAGCCAACCGGTGGCCGAGGCAGGAGACTTTGGCACTCTTGAAAATAAGGTCCTACATGGATGCTACCTTTCGTGAAGCTAGCACTAAGGGTCCACTATGGGAAGAGGTTTCAAGGTGATAATCTTTTGTTTTCTTGTTTTATCATTCAATGAAAGATTCTGGTTCTGTAAGTTTGATGGGTGGAGATCTGATCAAGTTTTGGAATGGTTTAATGGGGAAAGAAATAGCGTGCAAGAATTATACATTTCTTTGTCTTCGATATTATAACAAGTATTGTTGGGTGAGTTGAACTGTGTTCATCAGTATCGATTCTGATTTCTGGGTTTATCATAGTTTTTTTTTTTTTTTGCTTCTAGTAAAGCTTGCTGATCGTTTGAGTTACACGTGGAATTCAATTGGTAGTTTATTTTTTGTGCAAATACAGAAAATTTGAAGTTGTTGTTTGTGTTGTGGTGTGATTTTAGGAAACTAGCAGAGCTTGGGTATCATCGAAGTGCCAAGAAATGCAAGGAGAAATTCGAGAACGTTTACAAGTATCACAAGAGAACCAAAGATGGACGAAGTGGTAAAGCCGATGGCAAGACGTATCGGTTTTTCGATCAATTAGAAGCCTTCCAAAGCCAGCCTTCCATTCAATCGCCACCGCAGCTAAAGCCTGCAATGGAGGCGGCAGCTACTAATCTCCCACATGTGAATGTTCCATCCACAACACTCCCAAGTGTGCAGCAAAATATTCTACCTCCGAATATAAACCTTACACTCCCTCCTTCCTTCCCATCGACAAACCCGAACCCTACGAGTCAGTCCAATTCCCCACCACCGCAAGCAAGCCCTACAATTCCGTCTTTCCCAAGCGTTTCTTCGGCGGATCTGATGTTGAATTCAACCTCTTCGTCCACCTCGTCCGATCTAGGATTAGAAGGTCATAGGAAGAGGAAACGGAAATGGAAGGAGTTCTTCGAGAGGCTGATGAAGGAGGTGATTGAGAAGCAGGAGGAGATGCAGAATAAATTCTTGGAAGCAATCGAGAAACGCGAGCGCGAAAGAATGGTCCTCGAAGAAGCTTGGAGGATGCAAGAAGTGTCTAGATTAAATAGAGAAAGAGAGATATTAAGCCAAGAAAGATCAATAGCAGCAGCAAAGGATGCAGCTGTGATGGCGTTTTTGCACAAGTTATCCGGGCAGAAGCAGCAGCCAAATCCAGAAAATAATCCACTACCACCACAGCAACAGCAACACCACCACCAGCAGCAAACACCTTCAAAGCCAGTGTCGGAAGTGGCATTGGCAGACACGCCAGCACCACCACCAGTGCCGCCACAAGGGGAGAATTTAGACGTGTCGAAGTCGGATAACGGCGATCAAAGCTACACACCGAGCTCTTCAAGGTGGCCTAAAGTCGAAATCGAAGCATTGATTAAGCTGAGGGCAAACCTGGACGCTAAATACCAAGACAGTGGTCCAAAAGGACCATTGTGGGAGGAGATATCAGCAGCAATGAAAAGGCTTGGTTACAATCGAAACGCCAAAAGATGCAAAGAGAAATGGGAGAACATAAATAAGTACTTCAAGAAGGTGAAAGAGAGCAACAAGAAGAGGCCCGAGGATTCAAAAACATGTCCCTACTTCCACCAACTTGATGCTTTATATAGAGAAAAGAACAAACATGACAGCTCTAAATACAACCCCCAGAACTCAGTCCCATTGATGGTACGCCCAGAGCAGCAATGGCCCCCTCCTCCCCAGCCCCAACACCATCATGTAATGGAAGACATGGAAAGTGATCAGAATCAAGACGAAGACGACGACGAGGAAGATGAAGATGAAGGGGGTAGCTTTGAGATTGTTGCCAGCAAACAGGTTTCTATGAGCACTAATGAGCGATCCATATCAGAAACAAACGAACTTGATCAGTGAAAATTTGACAGGCCACATGATGGTCAGATAAATGCCAGGAATCAACTCAGTGGAGTTGATGCCGTAGCAGCTAAGTGGGACAGGGATCCCGGCAATGGTGAAATGAATTTTTACAGGTGAGTGAGAGAGAACACATTGGTGGGGTTGAGCATACAGTCGGAGGATCATTTATATGTTTATTTTTCATTATTATTTATTTTTTCAGATAAATAAATAAGTTGTCTCATTTCGCATGATAATAAACAGGGAAAATAAACAAATGACTGGTGCTGTAAAATTTTCATATTCATGTTCAAGGTCGTGTAAATGTGAGAAATGGTAATTTTTAATCGGTTGTTTTCTGTTCTAATTAAGTTTTCACCGTGACAGCTGGACAAAAGTACTGCACTATAACTTAAAGCATATGCATTAGATTAGACTATTTAACTACTTTGCTAAGATGTTTTTATTTATTTTACCTAATAGATATATAGAAATTCAAAATTTACTTTGTTTTAAAGAAAAAATAAATATTTATATTTATAAATTTTGTGTGCATATAAATTTAAGTAAGAGTAAAATATATTAGCATCTCTAAAATAATAATAATAATAATAATAATAATAATAATAATAATAATAATAATAATAATAGTAGTAGCAGCAGCATCAATAGTAGTAGTAGGTACATTAGTACAAAGGAACATGATGTAGTTAAGACGAGTTAATGACTCATGTTTACTATAATTTTTTCGTTGATGATTAACGATTATAATGATTTATCTCATAGTGATAATATTTTAAAATTATTAAAGTTTATCAAATAAGATTATAGATTCGTTGAATATATCAATATTATACATGTGTGACGCCAAACACTTAGACATCATAAATCTGTTATTACCTTAAATTTTTTTTAGGTAAATAATATGATCTGTAAGGATGCGTTTGGTTCATGGAATATAACATTACCAATGAGAATAAGATTACCGGAATGTGACATTACCTAACACATTACTGTGTTTGGTTTGTTTGGCAGTAATGTAAGATTACAGTGTTTGGTTGAAGGAATAAAAGATTAATGAAATGTATATTTTACCAAATTGACCTTGTTCTATATTTTTTAACAAGTGAAATTCTAATTATTTAAATAAAAATTATTTATATAAAAATTAATCGATAATATATTTAAATAAAAATTATTTATATAAAAATTCATCGATAATATATTATTTTATTATTTAAATATATATTGTATTATTTTAATTTTAATTAATATTAAATTTTACATAATTTATTTAAAAATATATTAAAATTTTACTTCAACATAATTTATATAAAAATAATTTATATAAAAATATATCATGTTCAATTTAGGGATTTTTAACTTTCACTATGATATTGAATCGATGATGACGATGATTCCATTAGGTAATATTTTCCACATAAATTAATTATATTATATCAAAGTGTTCGCGTAAATTAGTATCACACTCCTACTACATTTTTTAATGAAAATTTTCATACGTACACTATCTTTTTATACTAATGAAATATTATAATGTTCAGGTTCTATTAAAATCTTAAAGAATATAAAAAGAGTCCAATAAGTAGATTGCCGAGGGTTTTGGAGTAATCATCCCAATACCAAACACCACCTATTAGCGCTTGAGTTCATTACTGAACTAATGAACATATGGAACATCAAATCATATTATTGTTTATCTATCTAATTTTATATATTTTAAAAAACCATTAATAATACAATCGTTCTAATAATGTAATTTCAAGTGGATTTGGGGTTATTTTTTTAATATATTATCATTTAAGAATTTTACATTGAGCAAATAATTAAATAATTCTCTATTTGCTTAAAACTAAACATGCATTATCTAGGCAAATAGAACATGAAATATTATAAGCATATATAAAATTCTAAAAATGTGCAATATATATATATATATATATCATTCCATGTTCCGATCAGGTGGACAAACATAAAAATAGTTATAAAAGGTAAAAGAGAGATGAGCAAAAAGAAAGCTATCTTGAGGATGGTCAATCTCCCCAGAACCTTACTTAGCAACCACTGAGACAGCTTTTCACAAGTTCTTACTAAAGCAAGCCCAACAACTAGACAGAATTAAGGCCACCCACTCATTTTTGTTAATCCTCATCATCACCATCCTCCTCCTCCTCCTCCTCCTCATCCTCGTCCTCTTTTGCCTATCGATGGACAAAAGTATTAATAGGGTAAACAAAATTCCTAAGCAACTGATACCACAAAAAATATCAATGAGTAGAGCTCAATGGCAACGATGCAATTCAACTCATACCTACATGCATATCAATCTAACTTAAGAACGTGCACAAAGGTGATCTAGACATTGAATGCAGCAGCAGAGTATAAATAAATGAACGGTTCTCCAACAATTCTGAAGCATATATGAATTCCAATACAGTTTTATATCTAAATGGCAACCTACTACTCAAACTCAGGTGTAATCATCATATACAGGCTTTCTAGTTTCTTCCAAGTTTTTCAATGTATTTGGAGGATCTTTGTAGGATCATGTTACCCAAACCATATCTGGATATGGTTCAAAGTATGACAGAGTTATGTCAAGAAAAATAAAGATTCAGAGCAACTAGGACCTAGATGGAAATATTTCCTAGAATAAGGAAACAATGCAAATAATGTTCTCAAATCACCACAATTTCCCCCATTGCTATTCCAACCTAATTCCAAAATTATGTTATACTACTAAATCGAGTAGTCCACTGATCGGTAATCCAGACTAAATATCTTCATTTTGAAACCAGAATCTTAACTTGGTCAAAGACCATTCATCTCACAACAGCTAAATTCTATACACAATGCTGAACTTGGTGAAAATCGAGCTAAACTGATCTAAAGTAATTTAAAAGGCATTCACATGAGGAAAAACCCACGAATCCATCCCAATGATTTGGTGGGTAAGAGAAGAATTATTCCCAAAAACATGTGTCTGTAAACACCTAGAAATAAACTAAGGCCAATACATGATATACACGTTTGTAGAGGTAGTCACATGGACCTAGCTCCTCCAACTATCCCAATTCAACCAGCTTCTACAGAATTAACATGGCAAATTGTTGAATGCTACTAGATTTACATAACGCAAATTGGTGGCTTCTGCTTACTTAGGGGCCGTTTGGGAATGCTTATGGAAGTGGTTTTGGCCGAAAATTCCATGAGACAAATGTAAGTCAGAGTGCAGGTATAAGAAAATTCACATAGCAAGTTCTAGAAAGTACGCCTCACACAAATGTCACCAATTCAAAACGACCCCAGAGAAAATTATCAACTTATTCCAACCATTTGATAAGCCTCTAAACCTTAATAATCTCAATCTATATTCACATTTTGTTATCAATAGCAGCAGTTCTGGGTTCAATTGATAAGTTCATTTTTTAAGTTCAAAATACACTCTATTAATTATACTTTACCCTAACATATCGATAAAAAAAATAGTCCGAATTTGATCTAAAAACTTAAAGCTATTTTGATCTAAAAAGCCCCACTGCTTGAGGGTAGAGCAGGGCAGGGGAAGAGTGAAAATGGTCGGGTGTATATATTAAGTTTTTCAAAACAAAAAAAAAAATCTACCTCTTCATCTCCATCAAAATCCTCTTCATCAGCCTCCTACATCAGGAAGTTACAAATAACAAAAGCAAAGAAAGCAAAACATAATTTAAACAAAATATGTGTTACAAAATCAGAGAAAGAAGCCAGGCAAAAAATAAGTTACACTGTTGAAATAAGTGAGAGGATTGGGCCATAAGTCCTCCTTGATAATCTCTGCTACCTGTAATGGTTTATCAAGTGAAAAACTTGATAATCTCTTCTTCCTGTCCTTCCGCTGCGATGAGCCGGCAACCGTTGACGACTGCAAACCGAAAGCGCACAGCTGGAGCCTAGAGTGGTGGAGCGTGAGGAAGGAACGAGTGGCTTTGCAAAGGGATTTCAATTTTGGGAATTCTAATTTTGAGAACACAAACTTATAACCAGGTCGAAGAAGAAGAAGAAGATTTCAGCCAGAACGAAGGGAGAAGGCTATTTTAGACAACGGGATGTAAATAATGAAATATCTAAGGGAGATGGGATAGACATTCTCGGGAAATCAGTAAAAAAATCACTGTTGGTTTTAACTTTTAACTAGCACTTGGTAATATACTCTCATCCAAACGTAGGTATATTTATCACGGGAAAACACATTTCTCACATAAATGAATTATACTCTGAATCAAACGAAACCTAAAAGTTATTCATACACCCCATAGTGCAACGAAAAATTTAATCTAACAATCTCTTCGGGAGATCCATTTACAATGACAAATCTAAGAATAATGATGTGAAATATTATTTTATTTTGTCTTGAAATAAAATATTGAAAAAATACATATAAATTCTGATTCACTTGACGCGATGTCGATCAAGCTACAACATGAAATGTCCTCGCCTCTGCGTCGTCTACCCAATTCAAACGAACAAAAACAGAGACTAAAATTGAAACTATTTCAGAGAGTATTTTGCTAGAGTATATAAAATGCTTACTAGACTATCTTTTATATATATATATATATATATATATATAAACTATTTTCATAAATTACACAAATCAAATGACCTTAGTGATGAAGAGATTTGTTGTTATCCCCTAAGTCCCGAAAAGATTAAGAATCTTTAAAACTATTTTGTATTCACCACAAATTTATTAAAAAATATTTTCATAAACCTAAAACTCTTAATTGTTTTGGTTTATAAACTTCGCTCTTATTTGAATTCCAAATTATCCTTACGTAGAATATGTGATAAATCAATTATAACAATTATATATTTTAATTACTATAACAAAAAATTATAATTATCCCATACAATAATTTTGATTGTATCATATCTATTTTATGTACAACATACTTGTGCATACCAATCATTCACTATTTAATTGTCTAATTATATTAATTTAACTAAACATTTTAATTCATGTGACAAATATATTTCCAATCATACATGTATTTGTTCATTCTAATCATAGATACGATTTTCTAAGTTCTTGTAACACTAGTAATAATATCAGAACAGTTCTAATATTACAAAAATGAATGGTCTCTAACAATATATCATTGTCACCTAAGTTAAAAAGAGTCATGATTCGATATAATCTTTATGTGATTAACTCTTTTTATGTATTAACTCTTTTTATCCTTTATATCTAGAATGCTCACAAGTCATAAAATACTCATATTTGTATAGTTCATTTAATATTTTTTGATATCTTGAGTAGACAAATAAGTATGATATCTCATATCAATTTATTCGAGCATGATTATATATTTTTCGTCTCGCTCAATCAATTAGTATAAGATATTAATCCCATAATGTGAGAGGAGGCAAATCTCATTTTGACAAATCATATCCCACTACAGAGATCATACTATGTACATAAGTCTTTATAGTGTAACATGTTATGATACATATTTGAGTTATTGAATATGCTACTCACTATGTTAAGATAATGATAATCTCAGGGTTGAGGGTCATACATGTAGTTATCACTATGAGCAATGTTAACAATTACATAATAATTCAAAGACATGCTCATAACGAGTCAATCCAATATGTTATTCTCTAATATATACTTATTGCATTGATTTTGACATTCTCATGTCAATGACAGTACCTTGTCATCAATCAACTACACATTAATCTTTAATGTATTATTGTTGATCTAACTCATATAATACTTGACTAAGGACCTTTTTAAGAATAACCATATTATTCTTAAGACTTTATTATAATTCAATTAATTTACACATTCAAATAAAAATAGCTAAAGTTACGATGACAATGCCTTATATTAATATACGAGGTAAAAATATATTATTGCAATCATCTTATGATTATGTAAGTAATGAAGTGTAAATGTGTAATTATATCAATTTTTAATTATTACGTCAACTATTTCATTGATATTTAGTGGTATATGATTTAGTTAGTATCATTTAAATAGTTAAGGGATTTGATTAAAAATAATAATACAACAACGAGTGGAATCATCTCATAACTAAGTGATAACTCATGTAGTTTGCCCTTAATTAAACAATAATTAAGTGTTGCAAGGGTTCGTACGTTCCTCTCTTTTACAACACTTCTATCCTCTACAAGCTCTCAATTCAATGGTGTATCTCATCGCTTTAAATTCATTTGTTAATAATTAATTTGAATAGTAATACACTAATACTAATACATTAATGGATGTTTAAGCTCTCAAACATGACCGAAAGCAACCACCAAAACAGTCATCATCGATTTTTAAGCGCGGAAACACTGATTTTATGAGAGAGAAAAATAACGCCATAATTTGAAACAAAAACAACTATTTCAAGTCCTTGAAAAGCTGATTTTGCCCATATCAAAACAAAACATTGATCAAATTAATTTCAAGCATAACTTGAAACAGGACATATATAAAATTTCATATTAGGGTGGCAAACTATAAAATTTGAAGGGGAGACAAATTTATGAAATTTTAGAGGATCGGAAACAGATTTTGAATAAAACTACATAAAAAAAATATCTAAAATATAAAAAAATTTGGAAATTTGGAAATTTTAAGAGGATGAACGCAGGTCCATCACTGCTTGGAAGACTTAGAGCACCTGCATTGATTCATCGAGGCTCTGAGTTTTGGGTAGGCCACCCACATGAGGAAACCGATTCTAATAAAATATTTCTCGTATGATGCAGAGAGACGCTACCGAGTTGACTACAGAGAACAAGGAACTCAAACTACGGTTACACGTATCGGAGTAATTAGGAATGGATGAGAGGACGAACTACAATTACATGTACCGAAGTAAATAGGATAGACCGAGAGGACGACTAAGGGCAGTCGTCCCTAATAAAATTAAATTATCATATATTTTAAATTTATGTTTAATATCTTTTATTAATAATCTATTTTTATTTATAGAATTTTATAAGTTTATCCCTCTTAAAATTTTAAAAATTCACCCATACACAACATTCAGCTCTCTGGGCTTTGGCAGTGGACCACCGATGTGCCCTGAAATGGAATTTCATCAAACTGCTATGCATATACATTGCTATAATGCTATATAGAAATAAAACTCTGCCAAGTCTATGCTTCTTCGATACAATGCAATTAACAATGAGAAAGTAATAGGAGTAACTTCTGGATCTAATCCATATTCCATTAAATTCAAATATCAAACTACACGAAAACAGGGCATTAATTCTAAATCACGACCGATAATCATTTTTTCGACTTGTGCAGAGCACAATAGCAATTATCTTTGCCTATCTCTGCTGCAATACAAGGAGACTGAACATGCCCTTGATACCAAGTTGACCTTTTTTCCATTAATTCATTCAGGAAGAAATCCAGCTTCTCGATGGTCACGTTAGGCATCACCACCACATGTGCTATATTCCCTTCACAAGCAAGCTGCCACCTACGTATAAACTCCTCATCCCTGGGCCGCTCGAACACAACAGTACTGCTGAGTTCATTTAGCATAGCACTGATCCCAGCCCCATGCAATCGGTCCTTCAAGTAGTGAGCGTTTCTGAGGCACTTCTGAACATCCTTTTGAAATCCTTTGTAACCTTTTCTGTTGAGAGTATACCATAGGAAAATAGGAGCATGACCGTTCCGACTTCCCATGATCGTAGCATCCCTTGATGCAAGGTATTCGACATTGCTTGAGAGCACATTGATGTGCTCTATCCTTGTGATCTGGACACCACAAGGCATTGGACATCCCACAAACTTATGCCCAGAAACACTCACACTTCCAATGGGCTTCTTGAAACTAACCTTCGGTGCCTGTTCACCACCGAAAATGCTATCAAGCTTAAGAGGTAACACAAGATAGGATAAGAGGAGTTGGAGAAATAAAACTAGAAGAATTTGCACAAACTCATCATCTACTTACTGAAAGGATAAAAGCTTAATAACAATGTTCCTTTCACATCTTTTAAGCATGTCAACAAACATCAAACTTAATAGAAGTATGCTCATGCATCTAATGTGATGAGGGAGCTTTGCTATCTTCCCTCAAAAATTAAAACCCAACATTCAATTAGAAGCTATACATGTGATAACTTACCCGTTTGACAAAAGGCATCATGAGTCCGAACAAAGCTCCATCACAATGAATGTAAAACCTATCATGTGAAAATCCACATTCTTCAAGGGTTTGTATCACGTTATCAAGGTCATCTACCGCTCCTTTGACAGTTGTTCCTACAGTAAACATCATTAACCAAGTTATGTATCTCATTTGAACCAATAGGATGACTTTCTATTGGAATGAACCTGTGACAGTGAGAGGTTGCATATGAGAAAGGGGGTGAGAGACCGACCTATGTTCACGTTGAGTATAGCTGGTTTGTCCTTGTTGGCAAGCAACTTCACTCTGAGATCAATGCAATCAATCTCACCAGAGATCAGAGTATCAATCTTCACACACTCCATTCGATACATCCGCGCTGCTTTAAAGACAGAGTAGTGTGACTCTCGTGATGCATACAGAATCCCATCTGGAAACACTTCCCTCCTGTAAAATTCAATCATCAACGGTTTCTTAGTCAAAACAAGATAATAATGTTCGAGATGCACATAACTGAATCATAAGAAACCACTAACCCAACTAAAATTCCATGAAGATTGCCTTCTGTGCCACAATTTGTAATGTAACCCCAGTATTTAGTCTCCTCTATTTCCCACAAACGGGCAAACCAATCTAGCACACCAACTTCAAACTGCCTTGAATGAACTCCATAGTTACTCTCAATAAATGGATCTCCAAGATTGTTGATTGAGAAATGTTGTAACTGGGCTAGTGCGCCATAATCAAAGTCCAGATTATAAGGATAACCTGAAAAGTAGCACTCAATTAATAGAACATAAATTTCAAGGTTCCAACGGAAGTGCACAGACGTATCAATTTAAGCAAAACTCACACACACAAAGACCTACCTTATGTTTTAAAACAAAAGCCAAAACAGCATATTGAACAAAACTAAATATAATTTCCAAAAAAACTAACAGTTAAAAGAGTGTTTAAATTTTAGAATCATACAAAATATCACATTGAATCGAGGCCAGATTTCTCCTTTTTAGGTAATTACAAGTTTTGCTTAGTTCCCCGTTTCTGCTTATAAAAGATCTTATAATACACAAGTACTAACAAAAAGCACCGTTTAACTCACTTCGATTCGATATTAGTTCAAGCCATCAAAATTATTAATAAATTGAACAAAAAAAATTGAACAAATTGCGGTAGATATGAAATACACGGTACCTAAATGGTGCTTTGTCCGATCCATGAGGTTCTTGCGATATCGAGCCAAGACGCCAGCCATTTGAGCTTCCTTGTCGCCAGTCTGCTCATCATTAACTTCAGGCTCAGTTATGGAGTGGCACGTGGTGTGCACGTTCCTCCCCAACACAATCTCCCTGCTTTTCCTCTCCGACGGCTTCTCCACTCCATGCTCCGAAACAACGGGAGGCAACGGCTCCACTCGAATAGCCGTAGGATCGAAGTTATCATTCCAGATCTCTGCCTTCCCGTTCACGTTAGGCGACGCAGCAGCTTTGATCTCGGCGCCCCCAGCCATGAATACTATTGAGATCACAAAAAGCAAATCCAGAAAAATGCGCGAAAAAACGGAAGTGGAAATGAAAAGAGAAGGATTGGGAAGCTTCTGGATTGATTACAGATCTGAAAAGTATAGGAGGAAACGGAGAATGAGATGGTGATAGGGTAGAGATTGTGCGAAATGAGGATTGGATTTATAGGCGCGAGGGCCATGCATCCCCCATTGCCATTGGCTGGTGTTGTATTTGCGTTTCTTTCCTTTTTTTTTTTTTACAGCAACTGTTCAAATTGTAATATTATTAATTGAATAAAAAAGAAAGCAAAATTTGTTTTTTGTTCTGGAAAAAGAAATGGAGCTGTCAGTGCCACGTGCAGTCTTAGGGATATTTTAGAACGGAGGAGGGCTGGGCTGCAGCTGGAATTATGGAATGGACATCCATTCAAATCGCGGAACGATAACTGAAACCTGGATTTTATAAATTTATTACTGTATTTGTTAACTACATAAATATATTTTTAAAATTAAAATTTAATTATATTTATAAAAATTTTAAATTTTAAATGTTAAAATATGTATATAATATTAGAATTTTTAATATAATCGAATATATTCACTCATATTATTGTAATATATAATGTAATATTATATTATAATTATATATAACAAATTAATATTAGGATAAACTACGTAAATGATCACTAATATTTGAGTAAATTTTTGTTTTCACCATTGATGTTTCAAAAGTCACAAATTGGTCAGTAACATTATCGTTTTTAACAAATTGGTCACTCGCCATTAACAGCCGTTAACAAGAGTGACAGAATACACAACTGGACTGTCGACCGTCACATGGAGTACCAAATGTTAAAAGCAATAGCATGGGTTGTTGCTTCATCTTCTTCCTCGCTTTACCATGGGTTGTTGCTTCATATTCTTCCTTTTTCTCACATTCTGCATCGGCGAAAGAATATATGTTAGCAAAAGATTTCAAGCTCGAGAATTGAAGATAAGGCCTAGTTTGAACTTGGAAAGGCTTGAACACAAGCTTCTCTTTCTTGGGTAGTTAACACAAACAAAGAGAAATTGGAAGAACTAGAAAGGCTAGTCCGTTAACAATAGATCTTGGGTTCTTGTTAATGTCCTTGCTTCTCACTTAGATCTCGTTATTTTGATTTATTTTTCTTAAATAGATGCAGATTTGTCCTTAAAAGCAAAATGGCAAATGTATGCATCGATGGGATCTTGAAGGAGCTTCGTAACGATGGTCGTATCCATAAAACCAAGATCATTTGTACTCTGGGTCCAGCTTCACGGTCTGTGCCCATGATTGAGAAGCTCTTCAGAGTCGGTATGAATGTTGCTCACTTCAATTTATCTCACGGCAGCCATGAGTATCATCAAGAGACCCTGAACAATCTCAAGTTCGCTATGCATAATACCGGCATCCATTACGCCGTCATACTCGAGACGAAGGTTCATTTTCCCCACTAATTTTATTCCGGTTGAGAGCTTCTATGTGGTTTCTTTATGCAAGTTGATTGTTAATCGTTTGATTTTCCTTGTGGTTTTGATTCATTTATGTTGAAAACCAAGAGCGTGTCATCAAATTCGACGAGATCATGCGTGAGACCGATGCCTTTACGGTTTCCTGTGGTGATCTTGGAATGAAAATTTTGGTTGAGAGCAATAACATAGGTTCTGTTAACTGGGTTTACCCTAAAAAACAAGAATCAGGTACAACTTGGCGAGTAACGGAGGTCAACCCAGTCCAAGTAAGTTTTAAACGATCCAGATGTATATTCCGTCACTCTTGTTAATGGCGGTTAACGGCCATTGACCAATTTGTTACAAACGATAACGTTAGTGAACGATTTGTGACTTATGAAACATCAATGGTGAAAACGAAAGCTTACTTAAACATTAATGACCATTTGCATAGTTTACCCTTAATATTATTAATATAATTAATACTATTAGTTATTTTTATAACCCGTAATATTCATGACAATCGAACCTGAAATCTCAAGAAATGTAACACCATCTCCCATATACCCTTCCGTACACGAGATATAGATGTCACATTACTCTTTAAAATAGTTATTCTTTTGAAAATCTCAAAAAAAAATATTCTTTCTTTCTAAAAACATAACATTTTAATATAAAATAAAACATTGATTGCAAACTGTTATAAGTTCTACTTAATTAAAATTAAAAGCATTTTAATATTGTGATTACATGCCAACAAAGTTTTTTTCCAAAATAACTAGATTGTCTTGGTGTCACGGATGAGCCCACTTTAGTTGATGATCACCACAACTACAGAAGCACTCATTACTCAATTAATCTTTGCTTTTACCTACGCGTGAGAAATAACACACGTTAAGCAATTACTTAGTGAGATATAATATAGTAAAGAACATTAAAGGATACATAAGTATCTCATAGTTATTTGACTTCAATCTAAGTTATAATATCCATAGGAATTCGTTAAGTCCTTCGTATAATAACCTAACCATGGTCATATTATCCTCATAACAATCTTTAGTATGTCCAACATACTTCTTTTTAGTTCATTAACTTCAATTATGTCTCTTTTCACGTATTAGCAATCCATTTATGCATTTAAATTATGGCATCATTTCACGCCTTAATGCATCCTTTCATTCATTTTAATTATGGCATCCTTCCATGCCTTAATGCATCCTTTCATGCATTTTAATTATGGCATCCTTTCATGCATTTTAATTATGGTATCCTTTCATGCCTTAATGCACATGCATTTTAATTATGGCATCCTTTCATGCCTTAATGCATCCTTTCATGCATTTTAATTATGACATCCTTTCATGCCTTAATGCATCCTTTCATGCATTTTAATTATGGCATCCTTTCATGCTTTAATCCATCCTTTCATGCATTTTAATTATGGATTCGATTTAGAGCAGTTCATACTCTAAAACTCATTCATATTATTCTTTCCATCCATATTAAGATAACATAATCAATATTATAAAACATATAAAAAATTGAAGCATTCTAATTTGAATGTTCTTCATCTCGGTTACTTACACTAAATTACTCACCTGATAATCCCCGCTAATAAAGTGTAGAGACTTCTGACTAATTAAAAACTTTATCTTTCTCTCTTTTCTTGCTAGATTCAGGAGCTTGGTTCCCATCTACACAAGTATCCATTAAGTACACATAACATACAAATGTTAGTATACTCCTTAACCTTGTACTTTAAGAATATTCAAAATATCATTATCTCAATTTCTATAACAATTTCAACCTAATTGGCAGTTCCAAACTCAATAGTATCGATACAACTATCCTAGTACCGATACTTCTATACTATTGTACCGATACCCCCTTCCGGTATCGATACTAATTTTAGATTCGATGTTGCCTGGTATCGATACCCATACCATGGTATCGATACTACCATACTATGGTACCGATACCCTCTTCCAGTATCGATACCAATTTTAGATTCGATGTTGCCTAGTATCGATACTACCTCGTCGGTATCGACACTGATTGAATCATTATCGATACTACACAACTAATTCATCCCATTTTAGCCTATAGTATCGGTAATGTCCTATCAGTACCGATACTCTTGCCCAGATTTTTCAGTTTTCAATCCGATTATTACATAAATGGGGTCAAATTTAGCTATATTTACACCATACAATACTATCAAACTCTTCTTTAACTATCCATACTAACATTCCTTCATTTTAATACTTAAAACATCTAGTACCCCTCAAGATCATTGGATTTTAAGAATCACACCAAAATTTCTAACTTGTTTTTAAACTCATTCAATGCTTCTAATATCTTATTTACTACTTTGACAAGTCAAAACTACTAATAATCATCAATAAACACCAATATACTAACATATCTTTCAAAACTCATTTTCTAAAATCTCCATTATTTCCTTCATTTCATAGTTTTAATCTCATTTAATCCTTCCTTAAGCTTCCATCAAATTGAAACCTCACCTTTAGCTAGGGATGGAAACTTCTTACGTGAAAGAGGAAGAAGATGAGAGTTGACCTTGCTTTCCCTTTTCCCTTTATTTCTTTTCTATAATATACTATATAGAATGAATTTTAAATTCATTTAATCCAAATAACCAAAATGCCCTTTCTAATCCTCCATTACTACAATTTAGTCTAATCTACTATTCCCAACTCATTCTCATCTTTATCAATTAATCAAATAGATTCTCCATTTTTAAATCCTTTCAATAAAGTCCTCAATTAAATTTTTGGAGCATTACAAGAAATATCAACAATTCTTTTTCTATCGCTATTACTTGGTTCATGCTTCAACAAGCAACCACGGGTGGAGCTTAGTGAGGGCCCAAATGGGCCCTGACCCCTGTTATAATTTGTATATTCAATATAATTCTGATCTAATAGTATTTTGGTCTATGTAAAAATAAATATTTAAATTTAAAAATATAAGAATTTATTAAATATTTAATCAAGTAATGACCGAACTAAAGAAGGATAACCTTGTGTTCTCAAATTTTTGGCCTAATAATAATTTAGGTCATTGTAAGTTTAAATATTACAAAATAGGTGTCATCTTGTAAATTTTGAGTTTTTTTTTAAATCTAGTGAGAATACAAGGTAATATTCGTACAAAGACTCTCAACTTTTGACAATGAGTGCTCATATCCCTACATGTGCAGTTCTCAAACTCGAGACTTCAAAGATGACAACAATCTCTTAACCACTAAGGTCATTTGGCTCATACTGAATTTTGAGTTTAGATACTTAATAAATAATTATATTTTTCTTAAATAATTTAATATTTCGATTCGTCCCTGCAAGTAACGAAATCCTCCACATCTGTGACAGAACCCCCCAAAATTGGAAATAAAGCCTTCATTATCCAAACCTCAAACAAAATAGCCCAAACTCTCAACCTTCGTTCTCTTTAATTTCATATTTTTACAAGCCATTTTTGCGGTGGGAAATGGAGGGCTTCTACTTATTTCTGATTAGAGACGCTTAAACATTTAATATTTAATATTTATATTTCTGTATGTATAATATTCAATAATAACAATCCCTGATCATTAAAATCATTTATTCATATATATATTATACATTTTTTATTATTAAATAATGTATATTTTTAATGTATATTTTTATAC